GGAACAGGCAGCCTCATCTTTCTCTTGCAAAGCCAGTGGTGGATTTGAACTGTTGAACTTGTGGTTAAGGGTTGTTATTATTTGGGAATGCCATTCCCCTCTAACTCTACCTCTCATCCTAAAGTGAAATAATGATGCATAATAAATCATACACATAGATTATGCATAAATGACACAATGATATGATAATAGGCTGCAATATAAAATCTTTTGTGCTTCATAATAAAATAACTTGTAACTGAGTGCCCTGTACATTTGTGCCTCTTCATGGGAGAGGTTTAAGGCAAGGATGAGTTTTCCAGGTTGGCAAATGGGAGTTACCCCGAGCCACAAGCAGGCTTACCGACCTTGGTGAGTCATCGGACATAGAAGGAATGCATGACTCATCGTGAGATGTTTAAACATCTGGACAGCAAAAATAAATAATTATGTGCCTTACCAAAAGAACAATGGCTCTCTCACCACTCATTTCATGTGGCCAGAATATCTAAATGAAAACATCATTGGACTGTCCTTAGACTCCTTTAGATTAAGGGTTGTGATGTTGAGAGCAGTGTGGATGCCCTCTTCACTAGTGATAAGTGACAACGTTGTAATATTCATACAAGGAGTAAATGAGATTTGCAGTGACTTTTTTTGTGTTGTGTTTTGTTTTTGCTGTTTTAAGAACACAAGGCAAGAAGGGAAGTCAATTCCACTTAGCGCAAATAAGCAAAATTCAAGCAAAAAAAAAAAAGACTTATAAAACCCATTTCTCTAATATTTTTCTATATTGTGACTTAAAGTCCTTTCTATTGGGATAAAATATAGGGCATAGTACTTCTTTACATAATTATAACAACATTAAGTATTACGTAAAGCATTTGAGATTCTGTAAAGGGATTGATTCAAGTAAGGACTACATTTACTGTAAGCTATCATTTTGAAACATTATAAGATTGCCTACAACTTTATTAGGTTAAAAGCATGTTTATATATCATTTATGTTAAGTCTTTACATGACTTGTAAGGCTTCGCTATATTCTATTTGACATTAGAACCATTTAATTCTAAAAATTCATAGTTCACTGTATTCCAATGGACCATCTTGTCTAAATCACAATTAATTGTAAGTATAAATCTGTAAATTTAATGACCTGACGAAATACAGTATTTCTTTTTAAAAGGTCAACTATTGATCTCTTGACTATATTGCATTCCTGAAATCACGCTGTCTCAGTTACCTGTTGCAGTCGGGTTATTGCTCACCGGTCTGTGGGTCAGGTTTCAGGCAGAGCCCAGCAGAGACCGCTCTGAGTGGTGTCAGCTGAGATAACTGATGTCTGACTAGACTGCATCCTGGCTGGGTGCCTCGGGCTAGATGGGGCAGTCCAAGGTGGCCATGTCGCATTTCTGGGACCTAGGTGCTCTTTCTCCTCCATGTAGCCTGTCTTCCCCACACAGTCTATCCTTCAGGGCTCACTCCCTAGCCAGATCCCCTGAATTTCTCTACACGGTGGCTGGATTTCATGAGAACAGGAGTGGCAGCTGAAAGGTTCTGCAATATAACCAGCTCACTTTCCTCCGCACTTCATTGGGCAAGGCAACCGGGAGATGAATTACATTCCAGAGGAGCAAAAAGGGAGAAGATAAAGCTCTCTTCACGGGAGGAGTGGTGGGTGTCATGACATCTCGTAGAATGATCTACCACATAATCCATCTTCCCGGGGACTTGGACAATTGAATCGATGTTGAAGAAAAGTTCGTTTCCTAAAGACCAGCTCAACTGTCCAGTCATGGGAAGGATGGGTCCTGCCCTGCAGTAAGAATGCTACATATGCAAACTGAAGATATCCAAAATGACTAGCATGCCATGGTAACTCCAGATGGCACACATGTATTAGATCTACATGATCTATTATTGTAACGTCCTGATGATTGGTGGCATTGATACCTTGCCTGTAATGACAAAACTCAGATGGCTGTTAGCACTTTTTAAAATACGTTCCACCTCCCTCATCTCTAAGCTTTAGCTCTGTTAAAGATATGTACTGATGAAAGGGTTAGCTTGTTTGTGATTGAATGAAGGGGGCAATTCGGTTCTTCTTTGGTGCTGGGAATGAAAGACAGAATTAATTGGCTCAGGCTGGACCAGGCTGGAAATGCTCTGTGCACTGGGATTCCTACAGCGCTACATGCTTTGGGCAAAGAGCCAGGAAGAGCTTGGAATCTTAATGTCAGAGGACAAACCGTCTACACTTGCTGATGCTTCTTTGGCTCTGCTCAAGTGCCACTTTAGACCCACATAAAGCATTCTTTTGGTGAGAAGATAATGATATGACATATTGGTGACTACTGTGCCACAGCCAACCCTCCCCCAAGATCTGGCTGCCTAAGCCCCCTCCATCCCAAGTTCAGAAACTGCCATTTGCACTTCCTGCCCTGTGTTCTCAGTCAGTGACCGTCCAGTAATTGGTGATTGTTTTCACAGAAGCAACGTTCTTCTTGGACTGTAACCATGCCCGGAGCCATCGCTTTTACGCGGAAAGCATCCTCAACCCTGCTGCGTTTATTGCTTATCCATGTAGATCCTACGAACATTTCCAAGCAGTAAGTAAAGAGCTTTGCAAGGGAACTTAATTATCAAGTAATCTTTTGAAACATGGTCTTGCAGCTAAAAATTAAGGCTTTGACTCTGTGGCAAAAACTAGCTGCCATTTTGAGAAATAATGGATTGCTTCGCTGCGGAGTGAGGGGCAGCAGCTGAAGGGCTGCAATCCTGAAACCAACTATTTGTATTTTGGTTGTTTCAGCTGTTTTGAAGATTATATCCAATTCTGCTTTGGGGGCCATTTGTTATGCAGTCATTCGATGTTAGCGTGTAGGAGGCATATCGGTCCAAGACAACAGTTCATTTTCTATGTCATCTTCAAGGGTGCACTGAGTAGCCTGACCCAATCAATAATTACAACCGTACATATTGCTATATGGGGATTATTTGATTAAATAACATGGGGATTGTTTGATTAAAATTTAATTATTTACACATAGCAGAACAGAGGCAGAGACAGCTCACGGGAGTGCGACGCAGATCAATACGTGACAAAAGACCAACTATGATTCTGCTGGAGTCATAAAGCGTGGGCTGCCGGGTCTGAACTACACTGATTTTTCCATTTGGGAATCACCGTGGAAGGGAAGAGTGAACAAAATCTATTTGGTAGTGGGAAGCGAACATATGTTTGTTCTTGGGCTTTGCAGTTGTAAGCCCATCCTATTGGAGTAGAACACAGGGAGCTTCCAGCAGCAAGTTCGTGTAAAAGAGCACAGGGGAGCAGACCCACTGTTGGGACAGGAGCACGCGGTCCTTCCCGTTGTGGGAGATGGTGGTCAATGCACTCAGAGCACCCACTCTGCCCAGTGTTTGCCCTGACTCACATCATGCCTTGGAAAACTGCTGCTCATAAAAAGCCTGACGACACTTTGAAATACCTTAAACACTGACATTTCCCAGGAGGTGGGAGGGGGGGATCTTTTTCCCCCCACTTTGCCCTCCCTCTCACCAACTGATGCTGCTCTGAGATGCTAAGAAAGCCCAAACTAAACACATTGCCATTGAGTTCATTCCACCTCACGGTGACCCGGGGTAGGGTTCCCAAGACTATGCATCATTTCAGGAGCAGAAAGCCTCATCTTTCTCCCTTGGAGCAGCTGGTGCACTTGAACCACCCACCTGGCAGTTGGCTGCCTGACGACACTTAACCCCAAGTGCAGCGCCAGCAGCGCTCCTTGAGAAGCTAAGAGGTCCTGGCTTTCCCTGTAGGGACTGAGGGGACAGAGGCATGGTTCAGAGATCAGAGAGACCCTGAGCCAAACAAAAGAATCCGGAGGAATCCAGAGTGCCGTGTGAATGCTAACTTTGGTTCCAGAGCCTGGGGTCAATTTCTTTGATATGTTTTATTGTACATTTAACTAATCGTCTTTTAAAAAAACAAGGCAGGGTTCTTGGGCTTGAATGTTGGGTTCACATGCTTCACCCCTCACTTACTAGATGGGGAACTTTCGAGAACTTGTCCAGTTCCTCTGGGCTTCCTCGTTTGTAAGACGGGGAGACTACGAGCCTGTATTTCTCAGGGATTTTATGAGGATGAAATTAATGAAATCAGAGAAAGCATTTAGAAAGTGCTTGGCATGTGTTTCAAAAACAAAACAAAAGCTTTCACTTCCATCCAGTTGATCCCAACTCAGAATGCCCTACAAGACAGAGCTCTCCTGTGAGCGGATCTCTGCTCCTGTGGGTTTCTGAAACAGTTCATCTTTACCAGAACAGAGAGCCTGTGCCCCCGGCCTCCTTTGGCGCATGGTTAAAAACCAAACCCACTGCCATTAACTCCCTTCTGACTCATAGCAACCCCCACAGGACAGAGTAGATTTTCCCCCTTTGAGTTGCAGAGACTGTGAATCTTTATAGGAACAGAAAGCCTCTTCTTTCTCCCTCAGAGAAGATGATGGGTCTGAACTGCTGACCTGGTGATTATCAGTCCACTGAATAACCAACTCTACCTCCGGGCACATGGAAAGGACTCAATAAAGATGAGCCTTCATTATCATTTCTCTTCATTAAAAAATGGAGTTGAAATGATGTGCTTTGGTCACTCTAACCTAAGTGTTTATGGTTTATAAATTGTTTAAAGCCCCAAATCTAAAACAGCAAGTACTCAATCACCAGGTGAACATGTGAGTATTGTTGTTGGTTTGGCTTTACATTTAAAGACTTACAGATAAAGTCAAGAATGAAAGTTCCTGTGTTTTCCCTTCCCTCCCCTTCAGCAGACTTAGAAATGAATTTGAGATAGATCAAACAAATGGTAGCATTTTGTTCTGATCTTTCTGGATTTACTTCTTTCTTAAGCAAAATATCACAATGCGCAGCTATACACTGATGTGTGTAGGTCTAGTAAGGTTATACACTTATTTTATAAGGAACTGACCACTGTGTATGTATTCGTTCCCCTACTGACATGCATTTTGGTCATTGCTAGTTGTTGTTCTTAAGAGAAATGCTTTCATAAGCGCCCTTTTGCATGCCTCCTTGTGCACTTGGGGACAAGTTTCTTGATGGCATGTATTAGAAGTGAAATTGACAACAGCTACGTACCCGTCCATCTTCATGAGATGTTACTGACTGCTCATCAGCTTCTCTCCCACCAGCAGTAATGGGTGTCCCTCTCCTCTCTATTGCCATCAGTACCTGATGTTGTCAGTTGTTTGATTTTTTTTTTCAAGTCTGCTGAGTATGAAGAACAGGAAAGAATGATTAGCATATACATTCACTTAGTGGACATCCTATCAAGATGAATCATCTACTGGGAACCGTAAGGACTTAATTATTCCTTAGAAGAGTATTGGATAGCTACGCAACGCCATCACAGACCGCTTCTTTAGACAGTACTCAAGCCAGTACAGAAATGTCCGAAGCGATTTCCCTGAGGTGGACAAAACTATTGTCCGGGGATCATTTGTAAATTTTAAATAAAAAACATCTCCTGAGGTCTTCTTAAAACCAAACAAGACTTGAACTCTACTAGAAACGCGGTCTAGATTATTATGCTCTTTTAAGAACTAACTTTGTGGGATTTAATAAACAATCGCAACTCAAAAGTGCAGATAGGCAAGTTAGGGGCCAGTGAGTTTATATTAAGGAGGGGGGGGCAGGAGGAGTAACTCAGAAAGGGCCGAAATAGTGGCACAACTTGAAGATTGTAGCCCGTGTCACAGAACCGTGCCTGCAGAAACTGCCCTGGGTTTTGCGATACATGATCTCAACAACCAATTCAGTAAAACTTCGAGGAAGCTCCAAGTACCACAAGCCTTGAGAGGAGTGCACTGTCCGTGTGTCTTGCTTCACTTCGCATTTCCCTGATCGGTATTGAGGCTGGGCTATTTTTAATACACAGTTATTGACTCTTTGAAGGAGCCCGGGTGGAGTAGTAGGTTACAGGTCAGTAGTGTGAACGCACGAGCCATTCATCTGAGTGGCTTTCTACTCAGAAAGATGAGGCTTTCTACTCCTGCAAAGATTTGCAGCCTCAGAAACCCAAAGGGCAATTCTGCTTTTCCTATAAGGTCACTATGGGTCAGAATTGAATTGAGTTTGGTTGATAAAGTTGAATTGAATTTGGTTGATAAGAGTTTCTTCTTATGTAAATTATATATATTCCTATCCCAAATGCATTTTCATAACAGGCAGTTTGTCTTTTTCCCTGTTCTTTTTGTTTTGTTTTTGAAAACTGGCAATTGTTGAAACTGGCCATTTTAAAATGCTTATACTTTATTCAGATTCAAAAGTAAAAACTATAGTTTCATAATATATCCTGAGCTGATTGAGGAGAAAATGCTCCCATTACCTAATTAACTACATATTATCTTCTATCACCAGGGGAATTGCTCCCAGTGCCCCAAAGAAGGCTGTCCAACAATGGGTCATTTTGCTGACAGATTTCATCTCAAAAACGTGAACCCTAATGGGTCATATTATTTTTTAAACACAGGCTCTCGTTCCCCATTTGCCCGTAAGTATTTTGACTGAATTTTATTGTGATGCTTTTAGAAATTATCTTCCAAAAGTCAAGTTTTTAATTAATGTCTACTATGCACTAAGAACATTCATTTTAATTAATGCCTACCATGCGCATGGACAAGCCATGAGGAGGCGTGAAGAACAGCATGGGGAAGGACCTCGTGGAGGGCTGTCCGGTGGGAAGATGACCAATGAAACCCTCGGTCTCAGTCATTGGGGAATTGCGAACTTGAAGGTGGAACTTCCACAACCGGGTCATGGAGTCTTCCCAGGGAAGGTTATGTCTAAGCTGAATGAGGATGAGGAAGAAGGGTGGGAGAGGTATGGCCCATGAAAAAAGAACAATATCTATAAATGGTGGTGGTACAAAAGAGCAGAGCTGAAAGGTAAGATTGCAGAAGAGCCGTGGCACTGTCGGCGACCAAGAGAAGGTGACTCTGAAGAGGTTTCAAAAAACCTTGAGGGAAAAATCCCATCGTTTTAAAATTCCCCTTTTCCTCCAAACTTTGCGAAGGGACCTCGTTTGAGATGAGGTGGGAGAGAGAATTTGAGAAGGGCCTTGTGCTCCATATGGAGAATTTGGGCTTTTCCTTTGGGTCAACACAAAGGCCCCAAGAGATCATAGAAAGTTGTAAATCACTCGAGTTATTCCAGGGATGAGAGGGGGCAAGAAGGAGGCAGGAAAACTCGACAGGAGCGTTGCCACACTCCAGGCAGAAAGGCAGAGAGAAGTGGGAAGATGAGAGCTAGTTACGGAGGTGGTAGAAGCTAAGTGGAACTTCATGCGTGGCTTTTGAAGGAGTCAAGGATGATTCTGGCTGGCTGGCTGACATTCTCCGAGGTTTGCAACACAAGAAGAAAGACCAGCTTGGAGAAAGGAGAGCTTTCTTTCTGACATGTTATACTTGAAGTGCCTTTGAGGTTGGGAGTGAACATACTTACTAGGCAGTTAGAAATAGGGGTCTGAGCTACTGATGAGGGATGTGGAGTGTAGACATGTAAGCATGTAAGCACGAGTCCACCGTTAAAGTGGATGATGGAACTACCCAGGAGTGTGTCCAATGAGAAGACCTCCCCCTAAGGTGTTCTGGAATGTGTGTGTGTGTGTGTGTTGAAAGTAAGGTGAATATAGAATTTAGATATAGAAAAGAAAGACGGTACTGCAAAAGATATTGAGGAGTGGGTAGAGGGAAAGAAGAGCTATTGCGGAGGAAGGGGTGGTTAGAAGAGCTGAGGGAAGAAGGGAGTCATCCTTCACTCCACCCAACACGCTGGCGGGAGGTCAACGAGACAAGGGCTCAAGGGTCTCGTGGAATAAAGCAACAATTCCATCCTTGGTGAGCTTCCTGAGAGTGGTTTCAATATATGACAGTGGGAACCACATTGTCGTTAAGTTGGCTCGAAGAAGGGAAAATAACTCACTGGCGATGATTCTTCAATGAAGCAAATCATTGGCTTTGGTAGCCCCCTTCCTTTTCTGATGTTTTTCAGATTTCCTGAAGAACTGCATTTTTCAAAGTTAAAAGTACTTAAGCATACAGCAATTTGGGTGAAAGGTTGGTGTAGCTCTAGATTTTGAAAAAGTAACACTTAATTGGGCATCAGGAAATGGTGGCCAAGCATGGTGCAGACCCCAGGCATTCCTAAAGCTGGCAACGAGACATTCCTAGCATTCTGACAATAGGAATTCCGGGCATACACCCATTCAGGGTAGCAATGGGCAAGTCACTTTGCCTATAAATGATTATAACCACGCACTTTCTCACCCATGAAGTCTTCTGGAATTGTGTGTGCAGATTGCAAAACGATGGTGAATAAAGGAATTAGGGATAAAGGACTTATGGTGCATAAAGGCTACAGGGAGCTTACATGTGTCAGAATCCAAAGGACATCAGTGAAAGAAAATGCACAACATCTATTTTAAAAGTCATGGAAGTATCTTGGAAAAAATCATAGATTTTATTTGGGGGAGAACATGAAAATGGAAGCATTGATAGGTCACATTCAATGTTGTCTGCCTAACAAAGTCACATCAACTACATCTTCAGTTGTATTGTTTCCATGACCATCCAGAGTATTGTTCTGCATGAAAGCTACGAGGTGCATTTACATCCAAGGGCCTGGAATGCTGTGCGTTTATGGAATGTTTAACCCTTGAGTCTCTCTCTGCTCCTTTATCACCAGGCTGGAGGCACAAACTGTCTGTCAAACTCCGCGGAAGCAATGCCATTCAGGGCAGCATCTTTCTCCGTGTCGGTGGAACACTTGGGAAGACGGGGCAGTTGGAGGTAGCCAGGTGAGTAAGCCTTCAAGCGAGGAGCTGGCAGCTAACACAGTATAGGCTCAAGGCAATGCTCAGCAAGATGCTCCGGTAAGCAGCGTGGTCTGCGCTTTTCCGACAATACCACTTACTACCCTGTGGGATTCAATTTTTCTTTTTGACATCCAGTTTTCCAGATATAAAGTCTCACTCAAAGAAACCCACTGCCATAGATTCCATCTCCATACGACTGAGTAGACACCCTATGGGTTTCCAAGAGCTTGGGTTTTGTTGTTGTTGTTGTTGTTGTTGTTGTTTTTTCTTGGGCATCACCTAGACGTCCACTAGCCAAGCTTCTTGTCCTCCTCACCTCTCTTGCAAACTAGGAAGCTTGATATTCTGAGGTGCCAAGCACCGTGGTTGGGAAGAAAACATTCCTTGGCACACATAGATATATTTTCTCATTTCAGCATCGTGGGGGCTCGGGGCAAGCTTATGCGTCTTCCTCTTCTGCTTACAGTAGGAAACTCAAGCCAGGAGCGACTTACACAAAATTAATCGATGCAGACGTTAATGTTGGAAACATTTCAAGTATTGAGTTCATGTGGAAGAAACATATATTTCAACATTCTCAGGATACGTTGGGAGCAGAAATGGTGATAGATGCATCTGGAAAATATGGGTATGAGTAAGTATTTCTTTCTTTCTTTCTTTGCATTTACAAACATGGCTTAAGTTTTACAAACGGTATTTAAAATCTGTCCATAATTTTAATTTTCAACTAGTATGAAAATTTGGACACCGGCAAGTTTTGCAATGAAAGCGGGATTGAGAAAGCAGTACTGTATTTGTGGACATACTCACAAAATAATAATTAGGCTTTAAGTTGCAAGAGCTATCAATGCCTTTTGTTTTGGTTTTGGAAACATATTAAAATGCCTTTTTTTCCCTCTCCGTTATCTTTTTCAGATCTACCTTCTGTAGCCAGGACACCGTGGATGCGAATGTTGCCCAGACTCTGACCCCATGCCAGTCCCAGATGCCATCCTCAGGGCTGTATTCAGTGGGAACTGTCACGGGGGAGAGGACTGTCCCTTGAATGAGAGGGGGAAAAGTACAGTTGTTGGGGTTTTTCTGACCAGAACGCTCTTCTCATTGATGAACTTTCGGGTGGGCCTTGAAAACTGATTCTGAACCCTGGGACAGAAGGAAGTCCGATGATCAATGGGACGTTGGGGGTCTGTGACAAAATGGACGATGAGTGTTAGCCTTGCCCCGAAGAAGAGGCAACAGCACTGTGGAAAGTAAGCCTCAGTCCAGTTGGGTTTTTGAAGTATGTTTTAGAGTCTTTCCTGCCGGAATAATCTTGTCCTAAAACAATTCAAAGAGCGTTTGTTGTTAAATTGTGCTGAGATAAATTGTGATTATATCTCATGATATGTAGCAGGTCATAACCCTATGGGTTGCTGTGTCTATTTATTAATAATGAAGTTTCAAGGTAGTATGTAATGATAGTGCATTCATATGGAAAGCCAATGATGTACTAAGGATAGTACATGTGTGTGATGTGGTCATTAAAATAAGCAACGGGCCCTGGAGAACTGTAGCCCTGAGCACTGTAGAAATCCCCAGCCAGAGACCTAAGACCCCATTGCCCATTTGTATTTAGCCTAAATGCAGTGTAGCATTTGAAAAGCACTTGAATAACCCTTTGCATCTGCAATAATAATGTTGCGATATGAAAATGTGTCCATGGTGTGTTTTTTCCCCTTTTCTTTTGCTTCCATACCTTCTAAGTCACTTGTCCCTCTTCAATGAAAGACAAGGATGAATGTCTACATTTGCGTTGCTGGACTAAGCCCATAGCACTGTGTCAAAAATCTGGTTGGCCAGACATGGTGACAGATACCCTACAGAGGGTTTCTTGAGTCTCTTTGGTGTCTTGCTGGCTCCTGAACCTTCAGAAAAGGCCCAGAAAGAAACTTGAGTTGGGGCAGAAAGCCAAGACAGAGCAGGTGACTCTTCCTGTGGAAGGGTGGCCGACTAAGTGTAGCAATTCAAGAACAGAACAGAACCCAGCACTCACTGCCGCTGCGGCCAACTTCCAGTGGCCTCTATAGAGAACTGGCCCCGGGGTTTCCAAGACTGTAACTTTGTACCAGAGCAACGAGCCTCATCTTTCTCCATGGAAGCGGCTAGTGGTTTTGAACAGCTGATGTTTCGGTTAGCAGTCCTAGAGTTGTCGGTTAGATGGTTGGATGGCTGGAAATCTAGCTGCTAAATGACAAGCCGAAAGGACAAAGGTGCCTGGCTTTGAACTGCTGACCCAATGCTTAACCCACTCCACCACCACCAGAGCTCCTGATAGGAGGATTCGGTTTGGTGAAAGGAAGAAAGGAGATGTGACAAATTTGGAATGACAAGGCAGAATAACCAGTCCTCGCTGGCAAAGTGGACATATCAGTCCTAGGCCTGGACAGGGAGAGGGTGATGATGAGCAAGCCTCGTTAGAAGGACTGAGCCGGACTGAGTGACCATGGCCTGGCACCTTTTAGCAGACTGGCAGTGGAGTGAGGCCCGTGACTCTAGTAGGGGACATTGCCCTGGGTGAGCAGCTGACCGGAGTCTGTACTGCTCTCTGCTCAGTCGACCTTTCAGGAAGGATGCAGCCAACCAGAAGCAAGATGAGAAGGGCATTAGACTCTGAGTCCTGGCTCGCCTTCTCGGCCTGGAGGTCTTCTGGCCGGCTCTTTCTAAGCTCAAAAAGACTAATGGGAGTCAATGAACTCCCAAGAACCCTATTTTAATAAAGTACAGACTTTCTGTCTCATAGCTCTCAATTATCTGTCCCCTTTTTTGCATCATAAGAATTTTGTGAGGATGATAAATAGTAGTACGTGAGTTATCGAAATAGCTATGGAATTCTGAAAGTTCAAGGTGCCACCATTACTTTCTGCTGTGATTCCCTGAGCAGGCTCTAAATTTAAAAGGGGTAAAAGGTCCCATTTCCTGCTGAGCACCATGGTTTGCCGTAGCACAATGTCTGTGGCCTGTAGCTGGGACAACAAAGCCATTCCTCTCAGTGCCATTGACCCCACCCCCTCATGCTCTCTCAGGAACCTAAATATCCTATGGGCTGCTTTGTCTTTGAACCTCTCATGTCAGTCCTAGGCCTGGAAAGGGAGAGGGTGATGATGAGAAAACCTCGTTGGAAGGACTGAGCTGGACTGAGTGACCGTGTCCTGGTACCAGCATCTTTCAGCAGACTGGCAGTGGAGTGAGTCCCGAGACTCCAATAGGGGACATCGCCTTGGGTGAGCAACTGACCGGAGTCTACACTGTTTTCATGGCATCACAGTTTAAAATTCAAAGTTTTCTCCCTTTAAAAAAAAATCCCATCCAACCTAAATCCACATGCCTCCTCCTGTCCCGGCCCCCCAACTCCCTTCCATCTGAGTTCCACCATCTCTTACCAACATTTTCAATGACTGTCAGCCCCTAAGTTAATGGGACATATTTACTCATTTATGCTACTCCTTGACTTCGCCC